TTTGTATTCAAGATCATTACAGAAAAACATTTACGCAAATGCTAACCTTGAAGACCTGCTAGTGAATTTATTATCTATATATACTTACAAATATTTTTAACTTATTTCTAACACGCAGCACGACAGGTGCCACATATGGAGCAGGATCTGCTTACCCTTCCGGAGCACCTGAAATCATCGCCGGTTTTTGGTGGGGTTCGTGTTCCTTAGTTTGCTATGTAGTGTTTTGTGTTCTGTTGTTTGTCTTTTCGTCGTTTTTCGTTTTTTTGCCATGGCATTGTCAGTTTTTTTCGACTTATGAGTTTGAATATCTCTTTGGTATCTTTGTTCTCTGTTTTAACGTCTCTTCAATGATGCTAAGGGTCTAAATATTTTTTCAAAGTCCGAAACCTAACACAATCGTTAAAGAGCTACAGAAATGCGTAATTTGTGGTTACTAGTTCTAAATCTACAAAATAACTCTATCTCTATCTGGAAATATATCTTAATATCTTTCAAACTCAATTTTTTCTTAAATAATCGGTATAATAAGCCTTATGACGAATTACCAATATATGAACGCCAGTTTTGTTTAATATTTTAAGTTATCCCCTCCACAGATTAACCATATGCAATGAAGGTTGGAGAAGAATTCTTCACATTTTGCAATGTTTTGCAAAATTTCAAGTAAACTCTTTTAGTAGTATCTGTATTACTGAATACCAAAGTTTCAAATAGATTAAATATGCTTCACTATTTTTGGAAATAAATCATACTGGAACTCACAGATAGGATGTGGACGCTCCTCCGTTTTAGTTCTTTGCAAATTGCACAATAATTAACGCCGTCAGTGGAAACGGACAAAATAAACTACGAATTTACAGACAGTTTAAGTACTCATTTGAGACTGAATCATATGTGACCAGGGAAAATGCAGCTTCAGTTTAATGTTTTGGACTTTAATATAAAATTCTCAATTTTGATGATTTAGACTTTATTTCTATGTGTTTTAAAATTCATTTAATTTTATATTTTCGTTTCTATTTACATTTAATATCCAGGACTTAAAATCAACATGCTTTGATATGCAATTTAATTCTCAGTTTGGACATTGAGTGACATGTTTTATTCTATTAGCTAATTAGTGACATTATACCTTTTTCATTATTATATATTTTTAAATATCATAATCAGATTAGTAAATTAACTTTATTCTTCAAGTTCTAAAAATAGTTTAATCAGTGAACAATATTACTCAAATTAATTGTTATTTGTTATGTCTATACTTGTCAATTCAATTGTGTATAAATACTTGTTTATAATTTTTATAAGCAAGATTTGGACTCAGGACTTTACACTGAACACAGTCCATCTGTAATAAAAGTATTAGTATTCCATGCTGAATTATTGGTTTATTCATCGCTAGTTCCAGAGTCTCAACAGTTAGTTTTCACCAGAGTTTCAGTCTCAGAAGTGTCATTGCTATTCAGAGCAATCGTTCATTGTGTGATCAGGTGCATCACACATTTTCAGTAACAAGAGGCCATTCAGTCAGGCTCTTGTTACACAACCCTACAAGTCACCCATTTTTCCCCGGTGACAGATTGGTGGACGACGACGGCGTGCTGACTTCTTAGCTCAGCACACGATTCAGAGACCTCAAACAGCCAAGCGAGTTCCCCAGACAAGTAGCGTAAACAATATTCAGCGGTGGAGTACAGCTTTCGACCACAATGGAAACCATGGAACGTCCAGTCAGGTTATAGTCCAGCATGTGGAAGATGCGGTAAATTTCACAAACACTATATATGTAATTCAATCAATCAGAGATGTTTTTCTTGTAAAAAATTCGGACATTATTCAAGTAAGTGTTTTTCAAAAGTAGCAAGGGACAGACAAAGTAAACCAATTATAGTGAAATCTAGAAAACAAAAGGATCGTGATACAGCTAGAATGAACAGCTATATTGATCGTAAAGATATCATCCGAGCCTTACTGTTCTCTGGTATGAGAAATTCAGCGTTCGTTCAATATTTGGATATTGCAAATGTGCTCAAAACAGAACTGATAAGTGTAAAGCAGAAAATTTCACAGGAAAGGAATAAAAATCTAGAACAACAAAAGTGCATCGAGGACCTTAAAATTGAATTAAAAAATCAACAGAGTATCGAGTCCGAGAGAGACCAGTATAAACAAGAACTTGAAAACATTCGGCAACAAAAAGAACAAAGTGCTTCGCCTATAGACGTTCAAGAATATGTACATCAAATTGCAAGACCAGGTATTTGAAAAAGACAAGACTGTGAAAATGGTGCATGATCTATACTATTTACGTTCAACCGAATTTTCTGACGAAATACAAACATTGAAAAAAGAAAAATCATACCTTCATTCAAAATTGCAATTTCATGAACATTCTATCAAACAGCTGACAGAAGAACTTCAAAGCCTTCGTCATGAAAACTACATGTTGTCTTCCAGCCAAAACCAACAGCGACCCAACTATAACAACAGACACTATAACAACCGCAGAGGAGGCCGATTTAGATAGTGCTAATTCCGAGGACGGACTTAATTGGGAGGAGAGGCATATGTGACCAGGGAAAATGCAGCTTCAGTTTAATATTTTGGACTTTAATATAAAATTCTCAATTTTGATAATTTAGACTTTATTTCTATGTGTTTTAAAATTCATTTAATTTGATATTTTCGTTTCTATTTACATTTAATATCCAGGACTTAAAATCAACATGCTTTGATATGCAATTTAATTCTCAGTTTGGACATTGAGTGACATGTTTTATTCTATTAGCTAATTAGTGACATTATACCTTTTTCATTATTATATATTTTTAAATATCATTATCAGATTAGTAAATTAACTTTATTCTTCAAGTTCTAAAAATAGTTTAATCCTTGTCAGTGAACAATATTACTCAAATTGATTGTTATTTGTTATGTCTATACTTGTCAATTCAATTGTGTATAAATACTTGTTTATAATATTTATAAGCAAGATTTGGACTCAGGACTTTACACTGAACACAGTCCATCTGTAATAAAAGTATTAGTATTCCATGCTGAATTATTGGTTTATTCATCGCTAGTTCCAGAGTCTCAACAGTTAGTTTTCACCAGAGTTTCAGTCTCAGAAGTGTCATTGCTATTCAGAGCAATCGTTCATTGTGTGATCAGGTGCATCACACAGTTTCAGTAACAAGAGGCCATTCAGTCAGGCTCTTGTTTCACAACCTTATAGGTCATCCAGTTTCCCCGGTAACAGATACCTGAAAGTTAACATGCCAACAGCATACAGAAGTGCGTACGCCAAATTTAGATGTACTTTAGCCCCTACCAGGGAAGAGACAGGAAGGTATGAAAATTTACGAGTACAAGAGAGAACTTGTGTTTGCTGTCCGAATTCCACTCTAAGAGCGTGTACTTTTATTTTGTCCATTATATGACAATTATAAGAGACGGTTGTTTTAATAACTTTAATGTTGGTTTTCATAATTTTTCTAGACAAAATAACCTATCTGTGATTCTAGGTGGAGCAAGCAATATCCGTTTGAGTGCCAAAATCTGCAGAGATATTTTAGATAGACGTCGTAGATTTTTTTATATACATATAAATACATATTTTTTTCTCTTTTTTTATTTTACTGTTTTAAGTGTTTTATCAGTTTGTTTCTAATGTGTAAGTAATCACCTCTTGTAATTATATACGAATGGTTTTTAAATACTTGTTAGTTGTTCTAATCAATGTGTTTTGTAAAAGGGGATATGTTAATGAAATATTGTGTTGTAATGTGAGGAGCATTGTCCTCTGGTGTTTATTGTGTGCCAAAATGTTAATATGTTTATGTTGTTTTAGCATGTTCTTTGCGGTAAAGAATTCCTTCAAGAGATATAATTTGTGGAATATTTAGTAAATAAAAGATGTGAATTTTCAGTATATTTCTAGTTATTTTCATAGAAAATTCTCCTTGATTTACTAATTATATCTAAAAAATATATTTTGGGTATACACAATAAGACCACAACCTAGAGATACCAAAAGTTAAAAACATTTATTTGTCTCACTTCTTTTACTGTCTTATCGATCATTTTATGCCATCAATCGTTGTTCAAAAAGACAAATGTGAATTTCAGGTAAAGGTTTTAGTTATTTGTACATCATCAGTCCTCATCTGTTCATAGATTTCTGGGTCTGGTATGTCTCCTCTTTGTTATGTATTTGACAGTGTGTAACTGTTTAGCTATTTCGTTTTTTTTATATGTGATGAATCATTACTTAAAAATATATTATAATAAAATTATTATTAGTATTTGAAACTTAGTCAAACTGTACAAACCATCAACTCGTACAAAAAAACAACAACATAGATAAAATAATAAAGAACATCATATATGCAGACAGCCAGATTTGGATCCCATCAAATATCAAATTGTGTATCAAGACCTATCCTTTTCTTTTTTTATACCATTTGTCGGAAAACTATAAACTTGATTACACATATGGGTTTTGTTCAGGAAATTTCAAAAACTTTAACGTATATATACTTTATTTCTTCATTTTTTGTAATAAGTTTTCGATTTTCAAATTTGTTGGCCCCGCGCATCAATGAAGAGACATTTATTGTCGAAATGCGCATCTGGTGCAGAAATATTTGTCCCGTTAGTGCTATTAGACTTTTATGCAGATAAAGAATGGTTTCTTTTTTTTATATTATTATATAAAATACATATAGAAATAAAATGGTCACTTTGATATTCAAATATGGTATGGTGACGGAGAAAAAGATGAGGAAATTTAAAACTTAATTGTCATCGTGGCGACGGTGATAAATCTATTTTAACGTACATGTGACCTTTGATGTCAACATCCGTTTTAAGGATAGTAAAGTTAAGTATAGTAAGTACTATATGTAATATTTGCCAATTAGTTAATTAAGGAGTTATCACATGCTGTATATAAGTGTTATTAGTTCCTGTAAAAAGTTAAAGGAAACGTTCAAAGCTAGTTAATAATCATACGAGATACAATGTTTGATAGAAGTGATAATGATTTTCTATAAACGTCCAAGACGTCCATATTATTTAAAACAAATACCTTATTTGAAGAACTGAAATGATCGTTTTGAAGTTTATATGTCTGGTTTATTTATCATTTTTAACGTTCGGGAATATATTTGCATTAACTCAAAGTCGTAAGTACATATAACATATTACTGTTTACTATTAGGCAGGGTTATTATTTTCATGACTTTTATACGATTGAAACTATGAATGATTCAATACGTAATACATATACAAACGACTATCAATGGAGAAAGTACCGTTTTGAAACTTATGCAACCCATAAATTATTTTATCATGTACATTATTCTTTTGTAATATCAATCATTTGATGCTGCAAGGTAAAATAACTGTATTTATGTGTAAATATCAGATTCGGTTTAGTGTCACAATTTGACTTTTACGTCTTAAAAGGGGCACTATCAAGAATATTTGTGGGAAAAAATGAGAAAGAAATGAGCTATTTTCAGGAATACTAGCTAGTTTAACATAAAGCACGTCAAGCGTATATTATGTGGCAGATTATAAAATACACCTCATGTAAAATGATATATTGTTAGAAGTGGTAGTTCTCCATGCTATTTATTTGCATGTGTGCGTCAAATGGTTCAGAGTAAATTGCCTTTCTATCGAATCCACAGTCATAATCAAACATTTTGACAAAAAATAACAAATGTTTTTGATTAATCATTGAAGTACATCGTTTCAAATTTGTAATCCTGAAAAATGGTGAAAAACACAATCTGATTTTACGGTCTATTTGGACCCAAATTGTACCATCTCCTTTATAGCCGTGTATCGTCTTCTTTCACTGTCTTTATATTCAGCAAGACCTGTCTAAGATAATACCTGCACAAATCGAAATAAAGTCATTATTGATCACACAACGAATTGAATCAAAACATATATTACAGTATAAAGAGTTAATTGATTTATCTATAAATTGTTTTATTTAATATATGAAGCAACTATCATGCTTTGTACCATACTTAATGATAAACAAATTATGGAATTATGGGAAAATTGTTTATAATTGCAACAATAATTTATATGTTGTGTAATAGTAGAGAAGCCTTATCTAAATTAAATTCACATTTAGGTACAATTATTTTATGTGAAGACGAGAAAATAAACATTTCTTGCGTCGATGGAAACATATCTATTGAAACGGTGATCTTTCCACAACAACGCTCACAATGCAGTACTTTTCGTTACTGTGACGACAAGGCGACAAAAATACAGTCGAAATGTAATGGAAAGAAATGGTGTGCAGTGGAAACAAACGCCTTCATACATGGCCAATGTACCAAAGTTCCAAGGCATATTGATTTGAATTTTACTTGTTCTCACTTTGATGGTAAATAGTATACAGCTACAAATATATTTCGTGATGTAAATATATTAATAAGCAGTCCATTTTATGATATTTATACATCGCTACCTTATCAAGTCTTCAGTGGTCATTAATAAAAAAAATTGTTTTGTTTTCTCAAATAAAAAAAAAAAAAAATAACAAGCGAACGAACTAGATTTTTTTACTTTAAAGAGGTAAAAAGCAATATCATAAAAATACCGAACTCCGAGGAAAACTCAAAAACGAAAGTCCCTAATCAAATGGCAAAATCAAAAGCTCAAACACATCAAACGAATGGATAACAACTGTCATATTCCTGACTTGGTACAGGCATTTTCTTATGTAGAAAATGGTGGATTGAACCTGGTTTAATAACTAGCTAAACCTCTTACTTGTATGACAGTCGCATCAAATTCCATTATATTGACAACGATGCGTGAACAAAACAAACAGACACAATAGGTAAAAATATCAAAAATAGGGGTACAGCAGTCAACATTGTGAAAACAGTAAAACGCACGATCGCCAAAATATATATGACAGAAAGATTTTAATTCGTTAAATTTAAAGCATAACGTGTTCAGAGAATATTAATATAATTACTTATGCATCTTTAAATCAAAATTTTAATAAGTTCTTAGGTAATGACGATCACTTAGTTGGCAAAAATTTGCAAAAATAGAATAACAAAGAATTACCACATAATGTACAATCTAGTTGTATATTCAACGTTTTCATAATTCTTGATATTTTTAATTTTTTCAAGAATAAAAATCATAAGATTTGTAACATATTCTTTTACTGCAAACTAATGCTCACATAATTTGAAATTGCAAAAGACGTGCTGAAAATGGATTTAACTGGAACTTCATTTGCCATTTACCATTTCCAACATATGAAAAGATGATGTATCTATGTACATTTACTTTTTATTACTCACGAGGTTTTGTTTATACAATGTCATTCTTATATTTCAGTCTTCAGGAATAGTTTAATACGTACCTATCGAAAACAAGATATATGTGGTTCGGTAGAAAATGTACAGTGCTATTATATAAATAGTGTCGTTACTCACTTTTACGCCGGCTTTTATTACAACAATCTTGTCTCGTGTGAAAAACCAGTGGACAAAATAGAAAAATGCGTAGTAAGTGACCTCAGATCTGCGTGTAGTGATGAAATGAAGTGCGATAACAGGAAAGTAACAAATCATTTCTGTTTCTTTATGCCGTTCAGTATAGAGATAACGTACAGCTGTGTTCAAGGTAATATTGTTATCTCGATATCAGAAAAGAACCTTTACATGCAGCAATTGGTACGAGGTCGCGGAAATTTTATATAAAAGTCAAGAGAGTAGGAATGTTCTTTATAGTGAAGCGTCAAACGCCCTCATTTCGCTACCAATAACTATTAGTAAATCAATGATAGGTAGTATGAAGTTGTATAAGCATTGACACATCTCATTTCGATGGAGACTATTTGGCCCTGTACACTGAGTCATGGTCTATCGACTTTTAAACTTTTGCACAGGTTACATGTTAAAGTTTGTAATAGGTCAGATTAAGGATAACCACTTATATATAAGTTAATGATATTTGGTGTGCAGTTTTATAAGGTTTGGCACATATCATTACAATTGGGAATGTTTGGTCCGGCCCCCTCAGTCATGGTCTAGTAACTTTGAAACGTTTGCAGTTCACACGTGTAAGTTTGTGATTAGTAACGTTTATTCTACGAACACAACAATCTTTTAGTCGTATGATTTAATTATCAAGTCGTCCATATTGTTCACTGTCTAAAAAACATGAAATTGTTTTTGGTGATATTGTTGTTTTAATTTACGCTTTCAATCTGAAAAAAGGGATTCGTACTATGATAAAATGTATGATGTGTAGAATTTTTATTAATTCGTTTACTCATATCTAAAAAAAAAAGGTATTTGATTCGAAAAGTAAACCATGTGTATCAATTCGATGACGTTGAAAGGAATAATTAACTCATCAAGCCGCCCTTAAAAGGTATTTATGATTTTTATGAGTATAGCCCAAAAGACCTTTATTTAATAAAGTTTTATTTTCTATTGTTGAATACTTGCAGATGCAACAAATCCTCCGATTTATTTGCAACCAATTCCAGAAGATCCAATCTTCAAACCACTCACAAATTGGACTCCTACCATGCACAGATCATATGATGAAGATACGAAGCATCACTCAAATGGTACATGCTGACATCTTACAATGTCTAGATATTCTGGTCTAGAGTTACAAATGATTAAATTGGTTTATTTAAGGTTTGATTTCAATATCAACACGAAGTCTTCAACGTGCACTATAGTAGCCAAGTTGTGTAACTTCGTATTGTAGCTTTATATCCAAATAATAAAAAAGCAATAAATTAATCCTTAGTGTTGATTTTAGCATATTATATGGGTTGATATATCTACACCAATACCAAAAATAACATGAAATAATATAATATATTTATAACAAGTAAAATTGCATAGGTCAATACAACTGCAATCACCAAGCTTTCAATTATCAGTAAAAACACCATGTACATAGCGGAACAAAAGTCATAAGAATAAAGAAACAAACGGCGAACCAGATGGCTAGAAGACCACAACCAATAAAACGTGTCAGTACATGTTAGCCTATGTTTATTGATTTAAGGAAATAATTATATGATAAATAAGGTTATTAATAGTTGATTTTGTTTATAAACTTTATGCGTTTAACGTTAGTTAATGCATACTTTTTTTTTATAAAAAGGAACGTTATTCGAAGATATTAAGGGAAAACATATAACAAAAGATGCAGAATTAAGGAGGAAAGAGGGATAACTCGTAAAGAGTCTATAACTATCATTTATAATATGACCCTGATACCTTTCCTTTCTTCGTTCCAGATACCAAATATCGTTTTCAGGTTAAATTAGACAATGATTGGAGAGTTTTGATACACGATCGGCAGCTAAATAAAAGTTTTGTCCTATGCTCAAATATGTGGACTGACAAGCACGCTACTATTGTTTGCAGAGAGCTTAATTTGTCAGACCTTGGATTTGCTATTACAGTAACAAGAAAGAGGGAATATAAACAACAACGTTTCTATGTAAACTGTTCCGGTAATGAATCGACATTGCTGCTTTGTTCATTCAACAAAACATCTCAGAGGTTTTGTGAAAACAGGGACTCGGCTGTTCGTTGTACATGTAAGGAAACGACGATAGTAATGCTGAAATCTAAATGATGTGTAATTGCAACAGCTAACGTTCAGATATACAACTTTTGATTGATAATTATTCGTGGGATGCCAATTTTCGTAAATTTCTTAGGTATAGGTAAACAATGAATTGTAATATTGATAGCACAAATTTTCTTTAGGCTTGTATGACCAAAACACAACATCAACAACCATACAAGTTTTTCTCCATCCATGAAAATTGGTATCCAACAAAATAAATGAAACCACAGTATATTTTATAAATATAGCCTGCACTGCATGAAACGTTTATTGAATTGTCTTAAACTAAGCCCTGAAAAGAACATATACAATTAGTGTTACTTTGTGGTATGTGGGTTTTGATTGACACGTAAAATAACGCGTATTTTACTAGAACGCGTAATTAGTTCGTGCTCTTTTGGTTTTATCACAGTATCTTTGGTTTTATGTTTTTTTATAATGTATCCTGTTTTTCTTTTAACATACCATATGTAAAAGAATCCGGAAACTTCTAACAACGCATCGACTCTAGGTTAAGATTAACATTAAACAACGAAAGGACATATAGCAATTGTTGATTATTGAAATACACCTTACTAACTATCAGTATTCAAAATGACTGACATATCTTTTTGTATCCTTTTGGTTAAAAAAGTAGAAAAAAATCGTATGCACTTGTGCAATGCTGATTATATAAATGTCTGTTTGTTTTGTTCACAGATTGTTGTCAATATAGTGGAATTGTATGCGACTGTCGTACAAGTGAGAGGTTTGGCTGGCTATAAAACCAGGTTTGATCCACCATTTTCTACACAAGGAAATGTCTGTGCCAAGTCAGGAATATGGCAGTTGGTGTGTTAGAGCTTTTGATTTTGCCGGTTGTTGGGGGACTTTCAGTTTTAGATTTTCCTTGGAATTCGGTGTTTTTGTTGTTTTACTTTCATTTGTAATACACAAACAACTATACAGACAGAAATGGTCGCTATCCTCTACCATAATGACGCAGTACTACTTTGAAGACTAACAAATATTTGAACATAAGAACAACAACAAACATGTGATTTGGTAAGATATGTCTATATAAAATTGCATAAAATTATTATAAATCTGTATTGCAGCATTCAACACAAATCCTGTTACATCAACTGAGGTAATTTTGCCAACAGATATTCATTCCAACACAACAGGTAATTAATTTTGGTTCTACCTTGCCAGATATTTTAATATTTACGCTAATTTTGATTGATTTACTTCTTTAGCAACTTTTGTAATGTACTGAAAATAAAAACATACATATTTGCAAGTGGATGTTATTTATTGTTTAACCACTTTTTCTTCAATGTTTTTATTTATTTATTCAAACTCCTTTCGTTCATTATTTTTGTTGTTTGTTGGTGTTAAACGCATCTTTCAATTAGCGTGGCCATTTCATAGCGCCCAGATTTTAATGGTGGTGAGCCGAAGTACTTGCTTGAATCTATTTTGTTGCCGTTGTTATTGCTTCATTCGTTTAGAAGACATTTCATTGTGAGGGGCAAATTGTGCAAAAATCTTGGTCTTTTATCAAATAAACAATACTACTGCTTATGTGAGACACGGGGTCGTAATTTTTATATGACATATTATACATCAGAGAAACTGAAACAAATACTTTATTAATGTCTCAATGTTTTTTGTCATTTAGACAATCAGGTGTTGATAGAAGATTTTTTTATGGTGACTGATAAATATTTCCATAACATTTCAGGTTTGGGACGAATAAGAGCTTGAAAATTGTATAGACTTGTGCCTTTTAAGACTGTATATTGACCTGTTGATGACTTTTGTTTGTTGTCGTTCGACTGGTTGCCTTATATCTCAAGATAACTTATGACAGAGACAGACCGAAAACATTATTGTTAATTGTAAAATTGACGACCAAATGAGAAAAAAATCGTCAGCTAACATATTCGTGGAAAATGGCAACCTCTACAGAATTAAATATAAATGGCTTAACACTTTTAATCTTTTCAGGAACAGCAATTGGTTTAATTTCGTCAATAGTATTCATTGCTACTGTAGTGTTTGTTATCATCGCCATTTACAGGTATTTGATTTTTTCAGTTTGGAATTACAAGTTATTGAAACGAAAGCATAGATATTTGCTCTGGTTTTCTTGGAGATAACAGCATTTCAGCAAATTACTATTTTATATAAATTACAAATGATTTCTATAAAATACTGATTTTAACGATTAAAGTGATGTGATGGAAATAACAAACCAAGTAATATTATACAATTACTGTCTTTCGGTGTGGTAATTATGTGGTTTTATAGACTTGAGAAAAAAGAGAAAAACTGTTTCATTGAGGTCGTAAATATCAGGGTTTTTTTAAAATTTAATTAAACCACATACTTATCGCATCAAAGGACACTTATCGTTTTATTTCATTATGTATTTAATGCCAACACAATACCCAAACCAATTGTACATTAAAAAGAGTTGTTACAAAGGCTCTTGTACATCCAGGGAGTCTTTAGTATACCTAACCGTGTACAAAGTGTAAATCAATTGTCAATTGACAAGCATTCATATAGATTAGACCGTTGGTTTTTCCGTTTGAATGGTTTTACACTAGTATTTTTTTGGGGCCCTTTATAGCTTGCTGTTCGGTGTGAGACAATGCTCCGTGTTGAAGGCCGTACCTTGACCTATAATGGTTTACTTTTATAAATTGTAACTTGGATGGAGAGTTGTCTCATTGGCACTCATACCACATCTTCCTATATCTATTCAGAATCTCCTTTGATTTATATATATTTCTGACTATACTGTATGAGTTTTTCTCATTGTTGAAGGCCGTACGGTGGGCTATAATTGCTTTTATCAACGTCGTTAGAACTCTGGTGGATAGATCATACCACATTTCCTTATTTTTATATGCATAATTTGGAAAGTATTTTCAAAATGTGCTCGCTACTACAGGAAGCTAATTAAGGTAGCCTTAGCTTTTAGTTGGATAATGTTGCCCAACAAAAAAAAATCAGACACACATTTCTAACATGATTCATTAAGTCACATCATAAAATTAACATAAATCAACAGTTTTGTTTTATGATAGTATAAGTATTATTCTGAGTCATTTCAGTCGGAAACAAATTAAGGAAATAGTTTTAAGTAACGATTAAAAGTGTTGATTAGTTAAAGTACTTACATCTCTCAATTACAAAAAAGATGTGACTCAGAAAATCTACCAAAAAGTTATTAGTATAACATACATCTGTCATTAAGTTACTTATAATCTAGTTATAAAAATAGGGAAAGTTGGTATAATCGTCAAAGTTTGTTTGTATGAATAAGGATATTTACGAAGTGAGACATTATATAAACTGACGAAGCTAGCTTGTTTGATGCACCATCAGCGAATTTTGAAAACATTTTTTTAGTCATTTGTGCTTGAAAGCAAATATTTTAAAAACCGAAAATTCAAAGCGAGTAGTAAGATCTATGCAACATAGGATATATCTTACTTGAAGAAATGTCCCATTTTTTTGTCATATGAAAACTTGATTAAAGATAAATCATGCTAGTAAAAATGCTGACTACATGGCTTCTTGTACCTTCAAGTATTTGCAGTTAGTCATCAGTTGCATTTAATCTTTGGTAGCAATGTCAACTTTAAATATACAGCAGCATGCATTACAACTCGACAAACCTCCCACTTTGTCAATAGCCAATACTATTTTGAATTACCTATTAATCTCGGAATCAGCTCCAAAATTGGACCTGATCGCATATTTGTACTTCCCACACATTTAAACGGATCTGCGAGAGAACAAACCACATTGATACAGTTACTAAAACTAGGTAGATAAGTAGTCAGTATCATACACTAGGTAGATAAGAAGTCAGTATCATAGACTGCGAAAATCCTTGCATGTTTTCCATAATTTCGTCTGTTGCAAATATTTGTATTTCCTAAGTATCCAAATCCCGTTCCGCTACTTTTAAGGCAGTCTTCAAGCAACGGACTTCATCTATTATTGACAACACCACTACTTGTTACAGGAAAGAAAGAATCTTTCAGGAACGACTATCATGGATAAGATAAGGAAGTAAAATAAAAAAAACATTGGTACCAGATTGATACTAGATCGAATCAATGAAAAGTGGTGTATACTGCAATCGTTTTATTTGAGTATTCTAAATGTGTTGGATGTATATTTTAATGTGATATACAGTCACTGACCCTTTATTACATTAAGCCACACTTAAAAAATTCTGTAAATTATTACCTTTTTTCTAATGGTTAAGAATCTATTTTGTAATCAGTCAAACTCGTTTACCGGACCGCTTTCATTAACACCATTTTGAAATGTGTTCAGCTAAGGTGACAAGTCTATTCTATTTTAGACCTTTAAAAGCAGTTTTAAAATATTAAAAAAAAAATTGTAGCACAAAATTGTGTTAGATTGCAGTATTAAGACAATGATAGTGAATTGGCTTGACATAATAACGATATGAGGATTTGGCACGAAACGAAGAAATGTTTGGTAAAGGGTTCGTGTTTTTCAGCCTTTAGTTTTCTATGTTGTATTTTGTATAGTGTTGTCATTTTTGGTCTTTTTCGGGTTTTTGTTTGCCATGGCGTTGTCAGTTTATTTTCGACTTTTGAGTTTGAATTTACCTTTGGTATCTTTCGCACTTTTAGTAGTAATAACAAATCTTCCTGTTTCCATGTCTTGTGACTTGGCAAACGTCAGTTATGCTGTGATGACATTGTTACACTGTCACGTTGATTCCTAACATCCAAAGTTAACTAGAACTCGAGTTACTTAGGAGATTTAGGGTGATGTAGGACCCAGTTTGGTCCACAAATTAATTCGTTAGTGTCATTGCCGAATTAGAATTACTGCGACAGCAACTCACGAATATTTCCCTCATGAGGGCTAAGACTAATTTACAAGAGGGTTGCAAGTGTATATGTGTGCTCATCATTTTTTGGAGGAATGTACCTATAATTTCGGTATTTTCATTATTATTTTTGTTGATACATTCTAATAATTGTATTATGTAGATTTCTTCCTCAGGATATATGATGAAGGTTTTCCTTCTATGTTTTTAATAATATTTTTTTATGACTGTCATCATTTCAGAAGGCAATATGATGATACTTTCACTTTGGCCAAACCCGGGTCGATGTCACTGCTGGTGGGCGTTTTATCCCCGAGGGTATCACTAGCTCAGTAGTCGGCACTGTTGTGTTCACATAACATATCATTAATATGTACATTTTCTGTAAATTTACTGTTTATAAAACGTTGTATTATTCGAAACACGGTTTTTTCTACCCCAAGGAATAGACTGCCTAAGCCGTATTTGACACATCTTTTTGAAATTTTCGATTTTTAACGTCGTATTTGATTTGGCCGTAGTTGTTATATAATCTATAACAATAGTAATTATGACTAGAGTTTCACAAGGGATTTTTTTAAAGACGAAACATGTGTCTTGCGAAACAAATTATAAACCTGATATAGTTGATGATTTTTTTTTTGTCCAATTCACATAATATTTTTTGCCCGTTACATTAACCCTTCATAAATGCTTTTCTTACACATACATTAATGACATATTGACTTCTGAATATGAAGCAAACAATCTTCTGTACACTCAAATCGATATATTCCATATGGCATTCATACAATTGCAATCTTATATATAATGATTGATTAGTCTTCTCCTGTACCAAGTCAGGAATATGAAAATTTGTTTTCCATTTATTCCGTTGTTTGATATGGTCTACCGTTTGATTTTATCAGGTTTTATGGACTTCCTCCTTTTTAATTTACCTTGGAGTTTGCATTTTTGTTAATAGTTTTTTTTATCATTAGCTAATCCAAATGTTACTTGTAGCCAGGTAATTTAATAACTTCATATTTTTATTCATAATTTAATCTAAATTTCAATTTTTATAGGAAAAGGAAAAATTCAAAACATAATTCTGGATCAAACATATCAGCACCAATAAATTACCAAAATTTACACAGAAGTGATGGTTTGAGTGAAGGTGTTCCGCCTTATCATTGGTATATAGATGGAAATGCTACAAACGGTTCAGATTCTCCTCTTGCCGCAAATGCTGAAACAGGAAATACATCATATCCCGTAAATGTTCCTCAAAGGGAAAATATATCTGTAGATTATTCACATGGAATGGAAAGAAATGTGGGAAACAATTACTTTCTTATTGAACCTAATGAAATGGAAGCAACCATGGACAATAATTATTCAGACATAGATAATCCTGCTGCATCGTCTTCCAGTGGATTGCAACATAATTCACTCAACCAAAATGATTATTTTGTTCTTGACCCGATTGAAACAGGACGCTCAAATGATGTAAATAATTATTCAGAAATAGAAGAGTCTTCACCAATCACCTTAAAAGAAAAGAATGCAGTTTCGATATCAAATAATTATGGCCATTATGCTATTTTAAAAGAAGGTGTGTATGATGAAACAAATAATCGACGTCACGTTAACCAAGATGTCTATAATATTTACGATCGGTCGATTGATGAAGCCTATGACAGTACGACATTTGTGAGGAATAAAACACTAGACATAACATACGACCATTTAAAACAACCCAACAATAATAATGATAAAATAATTAATTAATGTAATAACAGTTTGTAAGGTGCCTGAAGGGAGGAAATTTGTATTTTTTCTTTCGAAAAGATGATTAGCCCAAATTGTGTTCATGAGGTACCAGAAGACAAGTTATAAATATAAAAATAAGGAGATATGGTATGATAGCCAATGAGACAATTAGCCATCAAAGACGAAATGATAAATATCTGAACAATCACAGGTGACCGTTAACAATGAGCAAATCCCATCCTGTATAGTACATGTAACACAATAACGACCCCAGGATGACAAAATGGGGATATAAATCAAAAGAGAAACCCGAACTTATACTACAACAATAAACGAGAAATAATTATGGCAGACATCAACCAACGACATAATAGATTACAGGCTACTGTCTGGGGAGGAGAGGGGATAAACATTTTCACAACGTGTTAACTTTGCATATACTGGTATCATATATAACACTGTTTTTCTTTTAATTGATAATTCGTCAAAGCACAATATATATGTCAGAACCAATCATACTAAGTTTATGTTCCAACGTGTTCGATAATATCTAATGTTACATGTCTCAGTGAACATGGAATTAAGTAAAATACAGAGGTAATAATGTGTGTTTCATATCTACATCTTATTCTTGAAATTGGCGATGATAGAAACTCAAAACTAGGATCTATGACAAAATAATAATTTCAGTTTTTCAGATGTCAACTTTCGTATTCCTGTGTAGTATGCGTTATTTTACTAATTGAATGTATCTCTCGCATGCACAGCTTTGATTCCTTGTTCGGTTTTGGCTGTACCTTTGATCCTTTCGTGTTTTATCCGCTCTTCAACTTTTGTATTAAGTTTTGGACTTTCAAAATATTTTGACCTCGAGCATCACTGAAGAGACATTAAAACAGAGGCGAAAGATACCAAAGGGATCTTCAAACTCATAAGTCGAAAACAATATGATAATGCCATGCCAAAAAAAATCGACCAAAAGACAAACAATAATCTTCAAAACACAACGAAGAAAACTAAAGACTGAGCAGCATGAACCCCACCAAGAACCATATGTGATCTCAGGTGCTTCAGAAGTTTACACAGATCATGCTCCACATGCTGAACCCTTCGTGTTGCCTTTGTAAGTACAAACCCGGTAATAAGTCTAATTCGGTACGTCACATTCGGACAAAAAGGGACGGGGTTGCAGTTCTTCAAAGGAACTTCAAACTCATAAGTCGAAAACAATATGATAATGCCATGCCAAAAAAAAATCGACCAAAAGACAAACAACAATATACAAAACACAACGAAGAAAACTAAAGACTGAGCAGCATGAACCCCACCAAAAACCATATATGATCTCAGGTGCTTCAGAAGTTTACACAGATCATGCTCCGCATGCTGAACCCTTCGTGTTGCCTTTGTAAGTACAAACCCGGTAATAAGTCTAATTCGGTACGTCACATTCGGACAAAAAGGTACGGGGTTGCGGTTACGACAAGTGGAACATATCTGTAGTCATATGTGAAACATATATTCCATAACGGTCAACTAACTCGTGATGGCGTCCGTACACATTTCGAAGGGTTGATTTAAAATTTATCACTTGGAACTCTTTGTCTTTTGTTAGCAACAACCCTCTATCAAGGAAATCATGATAGAATGCAAGCTCTGTAATATTGTATCACTGGAAAATATATACTTCATATGAAGGCGCTGCTGGAATGTTGCTACAAAGAAATGGAAAGTTCACAATTGGAAAGCTGATATCATCCATTTCGTTGTAATTGTTTGTTCTCGACTGACCCTCAGTGTCATCTTCTAGATGTTAGTCAAGATAAGAGGCAGATTAACCGTTGTATCCATTATTTCAAATTACTTTGGATTTATGCGTTCACCAAAGTCACCAAACATTGATATTTTTAGTGAGATGACATCATCTTTATAGCAGATCGTGAAGTTCTTTTCATTCTTTATAAGAAGCTCATGTATGAAGTCTGCCTAATATGAACAAAGGAACAAGTCGGCAAGAAAAGGAGCCCAGTTGGATCTCGTCGAAGTGCCGATTGTGTGATAAATAAAAACGTCCTTCAAAAAGAACAAATATGTTTCAATCAAGTATTCAACCATTTCCAGTTTCAGAGCATATTCTGTTTGAATCTGGGTGTGTTTTTTTGTACGATTAATCCCTCCCTTAGACAAGATACTTGTATCTACGTCAGCCGTTCTTTCAATTTGTCTTTTCGTTTCGAATGGGGAATACTTGTTTAAAGGGAAGAAAAGTTAAATGTTTAAATGATATCGTAAGAGGAAAGAGACTAGATTGCATGTACTTAAACAGATCTTTGGAATTTTTTAGTATCCATATCTGATTCACGCCGACCCTAGAGTAGGTAGTTTCACAATAACTTTGAATGTGATTTACACACAAAAAAGATGTTGTTTTTGGCTTTATCTGCGGGGACAGAAAAATAATTTTCATGGAGGAAGAACAGGTGCTAAGCAACATTACGGTCTTTAAAGATCGATGTATCATGTGTATGTATAGACCCATTCCGATTTTTAATTTCAATTTGTATCAACGACCTAACAGCCATAACCTATTCGGAAAGAGTATCGACGTGTTATTTTTTGCATTTAGTCTGTTGCCTGGTATAATCCTCGACTGATTCTATCAGTATTTTGAAGTTGTGTTTCCAACTGAAGGATTTAGGCTCACGATATTACGAGCCTTTGGATAAAGCATTTCGCAGAGGAAATTAATTCATTTAATTTAAAAGTTAAAACTGAACCGTGCGTCTTTCGACAGAATATACATATCATTTGTATTCTTCCAATTTTAGAATATTCTTTTCTCTTTCTCTTCATACACTGCAGCAAGTGAGGACACTCTTGAGAAGACGATACTATACTGTAACGCAAATTTATGTTATAAAAAGCTACGATTCATATACACTTTTTCTTCAGGGTTATCAATTTAACACCGTACGAAAGTTTTCAATATTATTTTTATCGGTACTAATATAGATTTTGAATTTTGATAAAGAGGTTCTGGTCCTACATCCTGTCGATAATATGTACTTATATTTTGTCATTGCACAAGGTCACACTTTTCTCAAACTATATTTGACGTCTGTACACTAAATACTTTGGAACTTTACTGTAATTGACTTTGAAGAAGCTTTTAGCCACTACAAGTACTTTTAGATTGGTTGTTTGTGTCATTTGTCTTTATTTTAGGTTTTTTTTTGTGTTTAGTTCTTCGTGCCAATCTGATGAATCAAGTCATTTCCAATTGTTTTGTTTTACAGTTTGTTCTTACATTGTGATGTTACCCACTGTCCCCAGTTAGATAAAAAAAAAGGTTTAACAAAAATACCGAACTCCAAGGCAAATTAAAAAAGGGGAAGTCTATAAAAACTGACAAAATCAAACGCTATCAATCAACAGAACAAGTGAAAAACAACTGCCATATTCCTGACTTGGTACAGTCATTTTCCGAAGAGTTGGTAGATAGATGAACGCTCATAAACATGTTTAATCCTGCCACATTATTATGTGTCGGTCACCAGTCAGGAGTCTGTAATTCAGTTGTTATCGTTGAAAACTGTCTGTCATACTTCTGTTTTGTTTATTGTTTTGTCATAAATCAGGCTGTTGTTTTTTTCTCGTTTGAATTGTTTAACATTTTGTCAAGTCGGGTTCTTTTATAGCTGACTTTACGGTATCGGTGTTGCTCATTGTTAAAAGTGGTGATCTATTGTTGCCTACATCCACATCATGTTAGACGATCTCATTGGCAATCAAACCACGTCTCCTTATTTCTTTAAAAATACAGATTAATATTCGAACTGTAGCCGGATTATGCCATTTATTGTATCTGAATCTACCAACTATAATCTGTGTAATAGCCAAACTTATACAGATCCAATAACTCGACTTATCTTTCTTCCTGCTACTCTCAGGCTCTTAGCCAATTTATTGAGTTCTATCCATACAGTTTAAACGTCTAAACAGACAAAGTCATACATTGTACTATAAATATTATTATTTATTTTTCAGGTCTTGGATGATCTCTTTTTTAAAGAAAGCTTCTTGTTGAGATATATATGATAAATAGAAATATTTTATATATTTTGACTTATTTGGGAAAATATTGATTTAATTAACTTAAATTGCGTTACATTTGTCAAATTTTCAGATTTCCTGTTCGCGGAAATTTCATCATAAAAATCTTAGTTTTTGACTCAAAATGGTAGTTATTGGTCATGAAATTTTGTCAGTTTCCGTACGCAATCATCATTATTAACTTTAAAATAGAGTTACATGTACATTTGACAAATTTTCCGGTTTCCTTTTTTCGGAGATTTCATGATAAAATCTTAGTTTTTTTTTAAATACTAATATCTGGTCGTGAAATTTTGTCAGTTTCCTTATACAAACATGTTAGTGATGTTTCAAATGAAGATTAATTGTATTAAAAGATGGTAATCTATATATACCATAAATATTCTAATTTCCCAATTTTCATTGATTAAAAAAAAAAACGATGATTTTAACCAAAACTCATCTATTTCCACCAATATTAACTGGACTATAACCACAAACTACCGATTTAAAAGAAAAGTTTTTTCTGGGATAAATATGAAACGAAAATATTTTAACAATAAACTGTTGACACGCAGATATGTGTCGCCTTTTTGTAATTTTGATAGTATCATACATATTATTGAATTAAAATGGAATAACTCTAACATGTAAACTATGCAAACCGTACAAAGTCAATGAACCGTGACTGAAGGTGCACGGCCAAATAACTTCCATGGAAATGAGATATCCAAATGCCAGTTCAAATGCATACCGAATAATATTGACTTATCATAAGTTGTTCCCTTTAAATTGTTCTGATCTCAAACTTTAAAATGTAAACTAAGCAATGTAAGCAACCTGTAGATAGATATAAGAAGATGTGGTATGAGTGCCAATGAGACAACTCTCCATCCAAGTCAAAATTTATAAAAGTAAACCATTATAGGTCAAAGTACGGTCTTCCACACGGAGCATTGGCTTACACCGAACAGCAAGATATAAATGTCCCCAAAAATTACTAGTGTAAAACCATTCAAACGGGAAAACCAACGGTATAATCTATATAAAAAAACGAGAAACGAGAAACACTTATGAACCACATCAACAAACGACAACTACTGAACATCAGATTCCTGACTTAGGACAGGTGCAAACAATTGCAGCGGGTTTAAACGTTTTAATGGTACCAAACCTTCACCCTTTTTCCTGAAACAATAGTGAAACATCACAACATAGAAAGACACACTATAAAATATCAACTGAAATGGCTTAACTCAATCAAAGGACATATTAACACCAGTGAACATACACTGAACAAATAAATTTGACCTATGATACAATGTAAATACAAAATAAATAAACTAAGGGAAGAATAATAAAAGTAACATGTTATACCGCTATTCACATCCGGCGATGTTGTTTATAAAGCAAGGAATTTTAGATACGATCCATGTAAACTAATGGATCCTTTGAATAAACTAATTCTAAAGGTTACCAATTTAACACTGTGGTAAAATCTTTAAATATTGTTTTTATTGGTATT